CAGGGCAGTGGAACCGACTCACACGGGAATCATGGCGAATGTCACCGCGCTGCCTGCACCCCGCGCCGCGCGGACATGGACTCTGTCTCTCTCGCACTGCCGCGGCGCGCCTGGGCACGCCCCGCGAGTGCGAGAGAGACGGAGCGGCAGCGGGCCGCAGGGGCGCGGCAATGATTGACGAGGACCGACGCGACGCTAGCGCCGCCGGCTGCTGCTACATTGTCAGCGGCGTCAGCGGTGTGGGCACTGACCTGAACGCGCGGACCGGCGGGCCGGGCCGTCTTGGGGGGAGCGCCTCACACCTCGCACTTTGAACCCGGCACACAAACTGACCGCACGCAAAAAAAAAGTGACACCCTGGGCGGGATTTGAACCCGCGCCCCGGCGGGCGGGCCGCGTCGCGCGTGCCGCGCTGCCCTGTGTCGTTAGCGCCGTCATCGGTGTCATTGTCGTGCTTCGTAAACGGAGCGCCCTGCGTTATTAAAGACAGTGGTGCCGCGCTGCCGCGGTCTAGACTGCACTTTATTTATTTCTTGGCCGCGGCCACGCATATAACTCACACGGGGCACACCGGCCGGCTACGCGGTGCTACGCGCGCGCGGCCGGGGGGACGGGGTGCGTGTCGAACTGGGGGAGGGGGAGGGGGGAGGGGTCCAGAAAAGCGTGTCTGTGTCTCGGCGTCCCCAGGGGAGCGCGACGTCGTCGCGGCGCACGTCTGCAAAAAGTGCGCCCCCTTCCCCCTGCCCCTCGCAGCCTCCCTCCGTCCTTCTGTCCTGCCCCCACGCCGCCTCGCCGCCGTTCGGCCAAATTGCCCTCTTGTGTTTCGCGTGAAATGAGGCTCGATGAGTCACGGCGTGCCTTTTACTGTCTAGAGACGGGGAGCGAAGTCGCGAAGAAGCGCGCGGTTTTCAAGTCGCCGCGGTGTCTGTTTGCCCTGCTTCGACGGGCCGCTCTCTCTCCTCTTCCCCTCCGCGGGTGCGACTCTCTCTGGGGGCCGCGACAATGTAAAACACGTCGCGGATGGAGGCGAGCGAGGAAACACCGCCGGCTCGCCACCGCGTGCTCGGCGCGCCCTCGCGGAATGCGGGGGCGGGGCACAGCGGGGCAGCAGGGAGAGAGAGGGACTCACGGGGCGACACGGCTCTAGCGCTAATGAAGGGATCACGCGCGACGCAGTTTTGTCATTTTCTGATTAATTCTGGCGACGGCGGGCTGCAGGGCAGCACGGCCGGGCGGCAGCGCGCTCCAATCAATGTCCGGACCTAACGACTTAGAAAACGAGCGGGCGTGGCCGCGGCACGCCACTAGACGGACTAGAGCGAACCACACTGAAAAGCGAAAAGACAAAAAGCGGCGGGAAAAATGGCGGCGCCGGCTGTTGAGATCGTTTGTCGCGGGCCGGCCGGTGAGAAGCATTTTCACGAAAACGAGGTGGTCGGCGACGCGGCGCGCGAAGCTCTTCGAAGGCCGTGAACCGCCACCGCGAGCTAACTGCCCCCCGGCACGGCCAGGGCACGCCACGGCACGGCACGCCACGGCCGGGGGAGGGGCGCCACAGAAGGGGTAAAGGCTGTGGTCATTTCCACACAACGAACCCCCAACCACTTTAACGACCACAACAGATATACATTCGAGGAATATTTTCCCCCTAATTACACTCCTCTCTTGACTTTCGTGATTCGCGCCCCAAGGTGGCGTGGCCGGCCGGCCAGGGTGTTTACCGAGGGCAGTGCCTCCCCCTCCCCCTCCCCCGCGCGTCGCGTGCACGTCTTCCCTGATGCCAACCTTTCCGAGAAAAAAAATATCAATTAATCTACCGTGCGGGCACATCTCGAGAATGCCTACTTTTTCCAGAGCCGAAATTAATTACGAGCGGGCGGGTGATTCCTGCGGGCTTGCTTCAGAACAGCGTCCTGCCTCCCTCGCACTCTCGGTGCGTGCCGTGGGGGTGCGAGAGAGACAGAGCGACGAGGCGGCGTCCGGAGGCGGCCTGCCTGCCTGGCCCTGCCTGGCCCTGCCCGGCCCTGCCCGGCCCTGCCCCGCGGCGCTGTCCCTCAACCCTTCCGCCCCCTTATCTCGTTCCTTGCACCTTCGGACTCTCGGACTCGCTCGCCTCGCCTTGCCGGACGACGCCGACCCCATTGCTCCCCTTCCAAAATTTCACAGCGCTTCCATTTCCTGGTTTTATCAGTTGATTATCACCTTTCGGCCCGAATGTCTGGCAACTAATGCAATTCCTATGCTAATTCCCCGAGCCGGGCGGGCCTGGCCGGGCCGCGGTGATAGCGGTTATCCTCGACGGGCACCCTGGCCGCCTACAAGGACCGCCCGCGGGCCGTGTGCGCCGCCACGCCGCCACGCAGCCGCCCGTGTGAGAGGGCGCGGGGCGGGGCGGGGCGGCGCGGGGCGGCGCGGCGCGGCGCACCCCGAGTACGTCTCATTGTTGGCCGCGATCCGCGGTGACTTTTCATGGCGCCGCGTGTACCTATACACTATACAGGTACCATTCCGTGTTTGATGGGCCTCACCACGCCGCGCCGCGCCACGGACTCCGCGAAGCGCACACCGCGGCGCGCCGCACGGCCATCAAGCGTCTTGAAAAGGACCCCTCCCCGCAGTGCTCGACCGCGCTAGACACGCCTAGCCGAGCCTAGCGCCATTCATTTATTGTGTGTGAGTGTGGGGCTCGTCGTTGGGAAATCGCGTCCACGGAGCCATGCGTGTGTGTGAGTGAGTGTACACCTGCGGCTGTGCGCCGTTGTCGTGCGGTGTTCTCGCCCCCCGCTGCGGCGGATCGCTCAAGGCTCGTCACTGTGATAGCCACCCCTACCGCCCCGCCCCGCCCTCTCCTCATCTCTCTTTTCCGAACCTCCCCCGCTGTCCTCCGGACGACGCCGGCGTTCAGCGACCCCCGGGCCCCGGGACCTCAAACTCCCTCCCTCAGCTCAGAGCTCGGCCAGCTCGGCGTCCAAGACAAACAAAGGGATCCTGGAAGTCTGCGCAGATCGGCGCAGATTGACTCTAAACTTCGCCGCCGGTCAGTCTTTCTCTCTCGTACTCATAGACGTGCGTAGACAGAGAGGGTGGGGGGGAGGGAGTCGGAAATCGCGGGCGCGAGTGCGTCGTCGTCGTCGTCGCCGCCGGCGTTGTCTATTGCCCCGCCGGCCGGCTGCGTGACGTCACGGCGCGGCCGCTCGGCTCGTTGCCACGGCAACCGGCGGCAAACAAATCTGCTGTTAGGCAGCCCGCACAACAAACAAATGAGCGCACTAATTGCAAGCACCGCAGGGCTTATCGCTCAAGGGGGCGGTGGAGGGGGGGGAGTCCTTCTCAGTGGCCTCCGGGGCCTCCTTGCTGGCAACAACAGCGTGTCCAGCCGAAAATTCCAACCGGAAATGCGCGGCAACAATTACAACTTCGAAGCGCGCCGTTCGGTTGGCCGCGTCAAACAGTTCTCAAACAGGATTAGGGCGACGAGGACGTCCGCGCGCGCCAAGGACTTTTTCGAGACCTCGGCGACAGTTCGACAGACAGCCGAAAGGGTTGTGAGGAGCGGCGCCGCGGAGCGTGAAGTTGGAAAGGGGAGGGGGGGACACTGCAAACAGTGTAATGACGAGTAAAGACGGCCTGGCCGACTGCCGCACTGCCGCGCTGCCGCACTGCGAGGCCCCAAAGTGCCGTTGACGGGCAGCGCGACGCGGCGACGCAGCGACGCAACGCGATGAATTACATTCCGAGGAGACGGCGCTGGCCAATGGGACGAGCGCCATTATCATCTCACGAGCGGACTTGTCGCTCTGTCTCTCTCTTTCTCTCCCCTTGCGGCACCGCCCCGCGGGTGAGAGAGAGAGGGAGAAAGACAGAGGCTCCCGTTCGGAATCAGCCCGGCGCGCGTATAAAAGCGTATACATGAAAATGGAAACAGTAAAAAAGCGAGCGGGCGCCAATCAAACGCCGCGGCTTTGAGCGCGTTTTCGGCACGCGGTGGAATTTAATTGCTCCCCGCGCGAAACTGGAGACGCGCGCAGGAGTGGCGAGTGTGTGTGTGAAGGGGGAGGAGGGGGTGATTTCGCACAACACTGCGGGGAAAGGCAGCGGAAGGAAACAGACACAAAGTCCTCCCCAAAAAATGACGACGGATGTTTGAATAATTGCCCCGAGTCCTGGGCGGTGCGTCCGTAGAGCCCGTCTGCTGAGAATGGCTTTCACGTAACCCTCTCCTTTCCCCGCCGTCCTCGGCCTGGCCTGGCCCTTGGCCTGGCCGTCCCAATAGACAAAAGTCGTCCAGAGTAACGACCAAATAATGACGGGCCCGGTCCTGGGTGGACGTCCGCGCACGTACCTACACCGTGCTACACAGATACCGTCCGTCTCCCTTGGGGGCGCGCCCATGGGTGCGAGAGAGACAGAGCGACGACAGCCTGCAGGCCGCTGCACTACTCCGGCGTGGTGCATGACATCCCAACGACCAGATTAAACATGCGCCGCACGTTTTTCCCCCGAGTCCGCGCGTCCGCGCCCCGCCGCGCCCCGCCCCGCCCCGTCCGGCCGAGTGTCCCTACTGACCCATTTCCGTGCGTCCATTAGGGCTCCGAGCAAATAACACACATGTATTCCGTCGCATTGTCAAACGCGTGGCCGCTGCCTTCGGAATCACAAGGTCCGACAACCGTCATGCGTCGAAAAACAAACTTCCGAAAAAAATAAAAGAGATACAATTTGTTCCGAGCGAGACGAAGAAGAGCGATTCGCGCGCGAGTTTTATCCGCAGTAAGTCTCTGACAGTGGCGTGGCCTGCCAAAGGCTGCCAGAGCACGGCTGTAAAAGTGGACAGATCCATTCACTGCCGCCATCTCGCGCTAGACTAGACCGGCCGCCCGTCCCACGCCCGTCCCCGGACGGGCTTGTATACCACGGCCAGGACGTTGCGCCGACTCGCACTTCGCGGACGGGCAGGGCACGTCCCCGGACAGCAGACCGAACCGAACCGAGCCGCTTACCTGAGGCGAAGTTGGCCATGGGCAGGCCGCTGAGGGGCTCCCCGAAGTCCGCGGCGCCGATGCCGTAGATGCCCAGCAGCTCCCTCATGGTCTTCTCGGCGAACTCCTTCATGGCGTTCTGCTCGGGGCCCATGGCGCCGCCCTGCCGCCGGAACGCCGCGGCCGCCGCCATGTGCGCCGCCATGGTGCCCAGCGGGCTGGCCGCACCCAGCATGCCGTCCAGGTCCCTGGCGCGCGACAGGTCCGCGGCCAGGGCGTCCTCCGCCGACGGCGAGCTGCTGCCGGGGCCGCGGGGGCTGGCGTCGGGCGCGCCGAAGACCTGCTGGCGGCCGAAGAGGCGGCCGTCCGAGCTGGACAAGTCCAGGCTGGAGTCACCGTCCGCCGCGCTGGAGCTGTCCCTGTCCCGCTCCATGTGAGTCCGCACTTGCACTCGCGGCTTCAGCAGGTGGTTCCGGCTCAGCATGGACACGCTGGGCGCCACGCCGCCGCCACCGCCGCCGTCGCTCAGGTTCACGTCGGAGCTCTCGTCCTCCGGGCCGCTGTTGAGGTGGTTGAGCGTGGGGTACGAGGACCTGCTGTCGTCGTCCTCGCCGAAGGCCGAGCTGTCGTCCTCGTTCTCGGGCTGCTGCCCGCCCTGCAGGCCCTGCGCGCTCAGGTCCAGGGCGCCGAACCTCGGCACGGGCGAGCCGCCCTCCTCCGCCGCGTACCGCTTCTGCGGCGCGAACAGCGGCTTCCTGCTGCGCCGCTTGACGCCGTGCGCGTCCAGGATGCCGGCGGCCGCCAGGTCCGCGTCCATGCCGTGCGGCAGGCCGTGCTGCAGGCCGTGCTGCTGCTCGTCGCCGTCCGAGTCCGACGCGCCGCCGCCGTGTCCCGGGGCGGGCGCGCCCGGCGCCTGGGGGTTGTCCTCGTCGTACAGGATGTTGCGGGGCTTGAAGTTCTTGCGCTTGTTCCTGCGCGGCTCGTCGTCCGCGCTGGGCTGCCGCGGGGCCTCGTCGTCGCCGTCGGCGTCCCCCTCCGCGTCGCCCACACTGCAGCCCTCCTCGGCGCCCTCGTCCTCGGCGTCCTCCTCCTCGCAGTCCCCGTTCATGCCCACGTCTGCAAGGAGAAACACAGTGCGTTAGTAAAGCCGTAAGCAGGGTTAGGGGTCCTTCCTTGTCCTCGGCGATAGCTTCTTGCCTAGGCTAGGCGCTGCACTGCAAGTGCGGCGTGGCCGCGTGGCGGGCGGGACCGCTCGCCCGGAGCTAGGCCGCTCGCCGACACGGCTGCCGAGTGAGATGCCTACAGCACGGCGCCGCCGGGGCCTATCCCTCTCTCTCGAGCCCATCCTCAGCCGGCTGGGCCACTGGCAACGCCCGTTTCACTGCGTTTCACACCAAACCACTAGTCTCTCGGTCTCTCTCGCACTTATGCGGCGTTCCGTGGACCGGCGAGAGGGACAGAGCCGCGTCCGTCGGCAGTTTGAAGCCGTGCCAACACCGAGACTGGGTGGTGCGGGCCCATGTCACAGGTTCTGCCTATTCACGGGTGATGGGGAGTCACTCGTCGATTAATTGGCGTGATTTGCAGGAAAGCCGGGAGTGGCCGCGCGCCGCGAGATGCCCAGCTATCGGACCGACATTGTGTCGATTCACCTCTACACATGTGCCCTACACTTCTACACGTGTGTCGATCACACACAGGTGGCGCGAGGCATGCACTCAGGCCACTCATGTCCGTCCTGTTTATCGATTTGGACATCATAGAATCGAATTTCGTCGAAAACTCAAAGCCGATAAAAAAAAAAAACGCGGCATTGACACAACAATCGATGTCGAAACGGGACCACAGAGAGATAAAGGGGACTTTTTCGCAGCGTATACGCGGGCAGAATCGATTTTAATTCAGTTCACGACAGGTGTTGAAATCCGTCGACGACATTAAGTCACTCCATTCCGCGAAAATTTCGAAGAAACGCGCTATCGTCCAAATCACACAATCTTAAATCGTTTCGCAAAGAGCGGCGTAAGGGAGAGAGAGAAAGAGAGAGGCAATCGGGCGCCCCAGTGGCGTGTCACCGTGTCAGTCCGCCCGTGCGGCTGTCTTGGCAGGCCGTGCCGTGCCGTGCCGTGCCCGGGGAATGCGTCTCGGCAGTAAAAGTCGCGCTGCGATGCTGAGGCGGTACCCCACCACACCCTCCGAGCCCTCCGAGCAGCGAGGACCACAGCCGCGGCAAATCCAACTCCGGGCAGTGGATGCGCGCGGAGTGGCAGTGTGGGACCATTTCTAGGAGCAGGGCAAGTGCCCCGTGCCGGACGGGCCCGGACCCCGGACGCCGCAAAAGAGTGTGACCGGCCCAACCGAGCGTCCCGTCGCGCCGTCGTCGCTCGGGAACGCTCTTTAAACGAGGGTGTGTTCCCGAGCGACGGAGCGGAGCAGAAAGAGCGGAGGGGAAACGCCCGAGCCGAGACTGCCGCGCCGCCGGTCGATTTCAATCACTCCAGGTGCAGCCGGTTGTTTATTGGTACTGCCTGCCTGCTGGCCTGCCTGCTGGCCTGCCGGGTACGTCGTACGTACAGTGTGCCAGCGATTGTCATGCCCGGCTTCCAACAATCACCCGTACCAATGCTCGCCTCTCCCTCTCGCTCGCCGCCGTCACGCCACTGGCCGCCGAGCGTCCTGCCCGTCTTGCCCGGCTGCACCAGCTGCGACGCCGGGGACGCCGGGGACGCCGGGGACGCCGGGGACGCCGGCGACCGCCTGTCGACGCCTAGGCCATAGATATGTCAGCCCCTTCCCCGGCCGACCTGTCGCCTCGGCCGCGTCCGCGTCAACGCGAGAGGCCCTCGCGGCTGAATTTCCCATACTGTAACGAAGGAAGGGTTCGGGTCACGACGCCGGGCCGCTGCACTGGAAAAGGAGAGGCGCCCATGCAAATGAGGTTCTTCACTCGGCGAGCGTGTGTGCGTGCGAGGAAGTTCCGCGGGTCGCCGCTAGAGCGCCGCCAGAGCGCCGCCAGAGCGCGGCCGGCCACACCGGACGGCCCCACCGCCGCGGACGACCAGCGCGTCGCGGCGCGTCGCGGCGCGTCGCGGCGCCGGCCGGCCTTCCTCTATAAAGACAGCATCGAGCATGGCGGCCGAACCGCGACAACCCGCGTTAACAAGGTGTCCCTATAAAAGGTGCGGCGTCGCCGTGTCTTGATGGCAGTGGGGTCCCCCTCTCTAATTTCTCCAGGACAGGTTCCCCCTCGCCCTGCGACGCGACGCACATCATAGAACCGCCAGGTTACGATTTTCGCTCTTCTGGGCACTTCTAGGGTGACGAACGTCCGGCCCCACTTTGCATGCAACAGATGAGAAATTCCCCGCGCAGAAGAGCGCGACTGCGCCGGGCGACGCGCGCACTTGCCCGCTTCTGCCTCCGCCGCGGCAACATCGAGTGCCCCGCAGAGCCCTGCCAGCTTCTGGGAGCCGAGCGCGGCCGGCCAATCGTTCAATTTCCTGGGCGAGCTAGCAGTGGGGTGGGGCCAGTTTCTAGTTTCGCTAGTTTTGCTGCGTCCAGCGCGCAAAAGCAAAGACTCCCTCGTGGAGACGGAGACGCAGACGGAGCAAGGTTCCTCCGGACAATGGGCCATCATGTGAGATCCCGGCGCCCCACACGCCGCGCGCGCGCGCGCGCACACACACACACACACACACACACACACACACACACACACACACACACACAAACGCGCGCAAACACACAGAGCGGACGCACAGACAGACGGCCGGAGCGGGGCGGAGCATTTTTGCCATTTTCATTCAGTTTTTGCCCAAGAATTACGCGCCGTGCCTCTGACCAAAGCGGGCCAGCGCTTTTGCCCCGGGAATGCCATACGCGAGCGCGGCGGCGCGGCGCAGCGCGGAGACAGAGAGATAATTGTGCACCGTTTTTTTTCGGACATAATGTTTGAGCGATTCGTGCGGTGCTGCCCTGTACAGCCGTGTACCACTATACGTACTCCGGGTCCAACAGTCGTAAAAATTGTTGTTGCTGTTGTTGGAATCCGTATCGAACTCGATGCATTCATACACGCATTGTGGCGTCGTGCCCAGACATGCAGCGCTCCGCGTGGAGGGATTTTAAAAGGGGAGAAAAAAGCGATGCCAACAGAAACGCGGTTTCTGCCAGAAACTGTCTGGCAGGGGAATGATGCACGCAGCGAGCGTCGCCGCTGGCCGCGTCCGGGATTGCTTTTCGCCGAAACGCGGATCAGTGGTAGGGCCCCGCGCCCCTGCCTCGACCGCAGCAGTCACATGCAAAGCTGGACGAAACACGTAGCACCGCAGCGGCGGGCCTGGTTATCGCTGGTCCATTTCCCTTTTCATTCCCCCGAATCGAACGCCAGGGCGTCGTTCCGCTCGGGCGGGCGGTATCGGGTGGCGCGTCCTGCCGGGGACAGCGGGGGCCTAACGGTGCAAGCAAGGTGTGAGAAGACAGTACCGGGCAAACATTGATTCTTTGCAGAGCACACACGCCGGACTTGGCTCCCGCTACTGGTTCCTCATCTCCACCGTCCACGCCTCGTCACGCGCGCGTCACGGCGCCGGCGGGAGTCGAACCCGCGACCACCGGTGCGCCGCGCCACGGCCGAGACCACTACGCCACTCGTTGACTGCTCGCTGGCACTGCGCGCTCGACGGGATGAAGGCCGCCTGTCTAGCGGACAGGTGTGGTCCCTGCAGTTTAGAGGGAGGACAGGTTGCTGGAGGGGGGTGTCGAAATTGACGTATCTGATAAGGGCATTCCGTGTCGCTACGCTACGCGGGCCAGTTAGGGCCCTTTGCGCGAGCGTGGCCGAGGCCGTGGCGTGCCGTGGCGTGCCGTGCCGTGCCGGACAAACGAGTCGACACTCGGCCAGACTGATGGATTGCCGGCGAACCGAGCCGCCTCATGCCTTTCCTTTTATTTGTATAAATACGATTTTATCTTGATCGGCGTGTTAACTTTTTTCGCCTTTCGCCGTGTTTTCCCCGGCCGTGAAATGCCTCTCGCATTCCGACTCGAGTGGGTTCTGCTTTGTCAGCCCACCAATGTCCGGTCGCGACTAATTGAAAACTTATCATCTGTGTCCATTTCTCTTTGAAAAAAAAAAAGAATGAAGAAAAAAGTCGTCCATTTACACGACGAATGGATTAACACAGCCGATTGCAGATCACTCCGCGCAGAAAAATAAGGCGAGAGTCTCGAGAGCCACACCTGTCCGGCCGGCCGGGCGTTCGATTAATCGAAACCCGCGGATCGAGCGACGCAGCGACGCGCTGACAGCGGCCGAGGCTACACCACCAGTGACTCGACCAGCGGCCGGACAGGCCGAGAGAGAAAAGAAGAACATGAATGAAAGACAAGCCGTGCCTTCGCGCGGAGAGTATGCACAATACCCGTCACTCCCGTGGCCTGCTCTCATTTCGTTTGTTTTTGCTGTTTGTTTTTTGGAAAGGAAACAACAATTTTGGCGGAAGCAACCCGCGGGCTGACTCGCCGAAACGAAAGGAGGTCACGGCGGCGCGGAAGCAAGGCGGCAATGCGATATCTCGATATCTCTCGGTTTGCGAGATAAAAAGGACCCGAATTTGAGGCGGCCAAAGGTCGCGGCGTGGCGGCGCTAGCCGGCAGATAAACAGTTTTTGCAATGTTTGCGCGGCCGAGGGGTTTTGCCGACGCACTGCAGCTGAAAGCCACTGAAACACGCACAGCACTGACTCAGCACGCCAGCAGCCCGTGTAGAGCCCTCAAATACGAGCCGGACCAAACAGGTGACGGCACCGAAAGCCAATCCACCGGCAATATCACGTTGATAAGGAGCGAGTTTTTTTCTCCGCCACAACGAAACACCTGGCTCACTAGCGCCCCGCCGCGGCCGCCGCGAGCTGCAGGACCACCTACCGAGACAGTGGTATGAGAAATTCAGCGCGCAGAACACGCTGCTCGCGAGGCTTACAAGGGTCTCGCCCTTCCCCGAGGCAACAGACCGCATTGGCGCGGCACAGCCACGGCACGGCCACGGCACTGCCAAGGCTCGGAAAGCACGGTTTCATCCTGTTTCTACTCGGGTCACGCCCAATCCGGTTCGA